ATTAAGCGCTTTCGCCATGGACGGGAAAGGCTGGTAACCACTTGGTGGGTTCATTAAGACCTCCCATCCGGAGCTTCTGGCGCGTCACCAAAGACGAGTGTGTCCTGGCGTTGTCCTGTTGGAACACAATTCGGCCTCTGTTGATCAAAAATGTCCTCTTCTGGATGAGTGCTGCCTTCGAGCGGTCCATTTGTTGGCAGTAGAGGGCCGAATTGAGCTTTTGTCCATAGGGGAGCAGCTCGTAGTACATGATTCCTTGCTAATCCCACCAAATACACAGCAAAACCTTCCTGGCCCTCAATCCGGTCTTGGCCACCGTCAGGGCCGCTTCACCGAGCTTTGACCACAACCTTTTGCGCACGATGTTGTCGTAAGTGACCCATTTTTCATCGCCAGTCATAATCCGCTTTAGAAACGGGTCGATTTTATTGCGATTCAGCAGCGATGGAAATTCGGTCCATCATGTTTTTTTGCGTTAGCTCGTGTGGCACCAAAACATCGAGCTTCTTTTTGAATCTCAAGTTTATGCAAATGGTTTCCAACGGTTTTCTGGCTTATCTTTAGTTACTTAGCAATTAAATAAGTGCTCACGTGACGGTCTGTTTCCACTGTTTCCATGATTTTATCGCAATTTTCGACGACAGGCCTCCCGAGGCGTGGTGCATTTTTGACATCGAAATTACCGGATCGGAACCTAGCAAACCACTTTTTTTAGACAAATTCCTTTACACTATTGGGCACATAAACTAAATGAATGTTTTCAGCCGCTTTGGCTGATTTTTCGCCTTGATCGAAGAAAAATTGTAAAATATAGCGAATTTTCTCTTTGCTGGTGTCCATCTTTGACGAGCGCCCATAATGTACTGAGTCAATCAATCAAAAAACTGTCAAAGGCAAACTGTTAGCGCGAATAAACACGTTTTCAGCGGCGTATAATATGAGATAATGCGACTCGTAATATTAGTACTATGTACTATAACGCCATCTCTTAGTTAAAAAACCGAACGAACTTTTTACTTGACCAATATATATATATATTTATGCTCGTAAGTGCACATGTGGAAAGTGTGGTTTGAAAACAGCAAGGTGGTCATTAAATGGTCGCAAAATATGCATATATATGAATATATGTATGTATATAGGAAAGGTGGTGAAGGCATCTTTGCACATTCAATTGCGCTTAGTATAGGGAAAAGGCGCTAACTCTGCACAATTACCTGCAGCTGATTGTGGATGGGGAAAGCATTTTTTCATTTTCACCCTTTACCTGCAGCCTTAGACACTGGGAAGGCAAAATGTCTGTACATATGTATGTACAAACATCTATTTCATGTTCCAACTGTGATGGTGGTGGCGCCAACTAACGACTTAAAAGTGTCATTGCTACTGTTAAAGCAAGCTGCGATTACAAAAAACATATGAACTGAAACTGCATAAATTTAAAATGGCAAAAGTCCATTTTTTCAATTGTCAAGATGTTAAATGGTTTTGATAGTTCTGAAAATTTGGAAAAATGTTTATCAACCGTGAAGAGACTGTGTTTCTACCTCAGAATATATGTTTATACCTGGCAAATATATTGAAAAATATTAAACTTGAAAAATGTGTAAGAGCAGATTTTTTATCACGATTATTTTTAAAATAGAACCTTGGTTCTTTCTGTTGATAGCCGACTGGTTAACTTATGTCGTGTACTAACATTCGAAAGGGTAGCCCAAACATCAAGAAGCACACCTCACATAAAAGTAGGAACTCGGCCAAAAATCCCTTCAGCGATTGCAAAATGTTTATTTTTGTCGTCAAAATAGATAACGGTACTTCGAAAACAATGCTGAACGAAGCCTGTCTGTATATAAAAAAAAAACTCCATTTCTCGTATTCAAATGAAATTGTAGCCTGAAATAAAGGTATTTAATAGACATCCGCAATAATCGGGTGGTTAGCTGGCCAGCAGTCCGATATCCAGGCTGGGTCAAATATGCCGAACCCCAATTGCATAGGCAACCTTCAAGATATCTCTCACGAACCATGTAGAGATTTTATAGTCTGCTCAAAAAAAGAATTTTGTGGAACTAGTTCCAAAGTAGAACGTTAAAAGCTCTAAGCTTGGACGTTAAAAATTAACTCCAAACTAACGCGTTGGAAACTAGTTTTGAACTACTACGTTTGAAACTAGTTCTCAACTAGTATGTTGGAAACTAGTTCTAAGCTAGAACGTTAAAAACTAGTTCTAAACTAGTACGTCTGTCACTATCTGTCTAAACTTATGTCTTAAAAGCTAGTTCCAAACCAGCACCTTTATAACTGTTTTCTAAACTAGCGCGTTGAAAATTAGTTCTAAACTAGTACGTTGAAATCTTGATTTTCTTTGGTACGTTTGAAACTAGCTCGAAACTAGTGCGTTCAAAAACTAGATGCTCAAAACTTGTTTGAATCTAAGGTTTTGACGACAAGTTGTCAACTAGTACGTTTCAAAAAAAAATTCCAAACTAGTGCGTTAAAAACTACTTCCAAAATATTGTTTTGGAAACTGCTTCTAAACTGGTATGTTTGATATCAGCTCTAAACTAGAACGTGGAAAACTAGTTCTAAACTAATACGTTAAAAACTAGTTCTAAACTAGTCCGTTAAAGAAAAAGCTTTTTATTTTTTACGTCAAATCCAAAAATGATTATTATTTTCGATCCCTGGAAAAAATATTAAAATTTGTTAAAGTTTCGTTTTTTGTGGGACAAACAAGGTAATTAGTACTTAAAATGATATGAAAAAAGCTCAAGGACCAAACAAAAATTTAGAAAAGGTTACGCGAAAAATTAAGAGTAAAATAAAAATTAAAATATATGAAAATTCGCCTTCGTTCGTTTGAAATATTTTCACAATCACCACTACTTGAGTGATTTATTTGGTCTTATCAGTAGTTTTCTCATCACTACTCTCGATAATAGCACGGTTATTATAGCTGCCATGTGGATCAATTTGTCTACCTAACAGTTCACCGTCGTTAACATATAAATCGATTACCACATCTGAACATTCCGGAGGAATAATGATTGCATTTTCTAAATATGAAGAAAATTTAATCGTTTTGACCTTTTCAGGGCTTCAGGGCTGAGCATCGCAATAAAAATATGTTGAAAGTAACACAAAATAGAAAAATAGGTTAAAAGTAGGCATTATTCGAAAAATAGATTAATAAAACAGTTCTTATTGGAAACCCCTTTATTATGTATTTTGAAGTTCTCTGCTGCTCAATGATTATAAAAATATAGAAAACGCATACCTCAGCTTCAGAATCCCATTAGTGTGGAACTTCTGTGGTTCTAGATCTTGGCAGAATGTTTCTCAGCGGCTCATTCATTAAAACATGCTGAGCCTACAGTTATCCTTCATTGAGTGTGATCTGTAGACAGTATCATCAGTGCTCATGGCGAAGTCTCTACTAACGTTTTTTTCATCTAATCTACGTATTCTACCAAGTCACTAACCATATTTTAATAGAACTTTTTACAAGCAGAACTTTTCATAGGTCAATATTTTCACATACATATGTACATACACTCATAGATAGTGTCGCAGAAAATGTATGTAAGTATGTAGAAATGTTCAGAAAGTGCTTAGTTAACAGTGTAGGGCGTTGAACGTTTATTAAAAATCGTTGTTGACTTCTGAAAATGTGGAATTTACTTTTTTTATTTGTCGCTTAATCGCACTTGCTCTTAAATATTTTCTGTTTGTGTTTGAATTTTTTTGTGTGTTGTTTTTTTTAATGATCTTTTTGGCAATGTTTCATATTTATGTTACATTTTGCAAACTTTTTCAGTTTCCGCTTTATGAAATTTCATTGTTTTTTACACTCCTTTTGTTAGGTCTGGCGTTGTGTAATCGAAGTGCGAACTTTACAGACAAAATACACAAAAGTACACTTTTCTGCTGCAAAGATGGTGTTGATGAGCGAGTGCCTCTTCAAGATTTAGAATTAAAAATATAACAAAAAAATAGTCTGAAGCTTTACACCCAGGACTCAAAAATAAAACCAAAACAAGAAATAAATAATAAAAAAAATAAAAATAATAATATAAATAAAAATAATAATAAAAATAACAATAAATATAAAAATGGTAATAAAAAAATTAATAAAATAAAAAATAAAAAACAATAAAAATTTAAAAATTAATATAAAACAAAAATAATAAATGAATATAAAAATAAAAACAAAATAAAAATAAAAATAAAAACTAAAAAATAAGAAGTCAAAAATAAAAAAACAAACAAAAAGTTAAAATTAAGAAAAGAGAGTGAAAGTACAAAAGTAAAATAAAAAATGAATAATAAATTAATTAAAATAAAAATAAATAAAAAATAAAAATAAAAACTAAAAAATAAGGACTCAAAAATAAAGCAAACAAATCAAAAAATTAAAATACAAAAATGAGAGTAAAAATATAAAAATAAAAATTAAAAATTAATTAAAAAATAGTAAAAAATTAAAATAATAATAAATAAAAAATAAAAATATAAAAATAAAAATAAAAATAAAAATAAAAATAAAAATATAAAAATAAAAATAGAAATAGAAAATTAAAAAAATAAAAAATAATTCTGAAGCGTAGACCCAGGACTCAAAAATAAAACAAACAATTAAAATTATAAAAAGGAAAATAAAAATATGAAAATAAAAATATTGAAACAAAAAAATAAAAAAGAAATAAATAGTAAAAACTAAAAAATAATATTAAAAATAAAATAATTATAAAAATAAGGACTCGAAAATAAAACAAAAAATTTAAGTTAAAAAAGAGAATAAAAATATTAAAAAAAAATAATAATAATAAAAATAAAAAATAATTCTGAAGCCAGGACTCAAAAATAAAACAAACAAAACAAAAAATAAAAATTATAAAAAGAGAATAAAACAAAATAAAAAATTAATAAAAACCAAAAAAAAAAAAAATAAAAAAAAACAAAGAAAACCCAAAAATTAAAATAAAAACTAAAAAATAAAAATAAAATAATAATAATAATCACTTTTAACACATTTTACTAAGCGCTTATCGAGTCTCATGCCAAAATAAATTAGTTCATTATTTTTAAGTGCTGGAATTGAGTTATGCACATTCCTACCACAGACAAATTAGTAAATAAGTTTGCCAGTTTATCACTTATTGCCTCCTAGTCTAAAGGCTTAACTTCTCTTATTTGGATTATTTTCTGGAATTTGAAAAGTCAATACGAATATTTTATTTGCTTTGCTTTTAGTTTATATTTTTATTTATTTTTCTCTTTACATGAAACTTGTTTAACCTTTGAACTCCCAGCGTCCTTCCAGACCACCTTGGAAATCATTCTGATTCCAATCGTAGTTTCGTCTAGCCTTAGCATAAGCATCAACACTGTAACTACCATCATCACTTTTCAGTAAATTATGATTGTACTTGAAACTACCCTCTCGTCCACGCTCCGTATCTTCATATTTCAGCTCCACTCGACCGTGATCACCTTCTTGTTGTTTGTCTTGAGAAGATTCCTCAGATGAGGGCGAGGGTGATCGTGCATTACGTATAAGTAAGATGATGGGACCTCCTTCAATAGAACTCCTTGCAGCAGCAGCGTCCTCCGTAAGAGGATACGCTTTGGCTGAAGTGTATAAAGCGCAAAAGGCGATAGCTAGAATGAACTTAGTTGCAGACATTTCTCAGATGTTCAAATGTAGCTGAATTATTTTTTTTTTTAATAAAATATTGCTGATTTTTCTTAAACCACGATGACAAGACAACTGTGCTCATTATGCTGCAGTTCTTCATATTTATAGTTGAATTTCGTTTATAATTACGAATTTGATTGTTCACTTTAAAATCACTTAAGGGGGTTTCCATTGTCTCTTGCCATTTTACTGATAAGCATGCCTCTTCAGATCATCAGGTCATCATGTCTTCAGATGATCGCTTTGCAAATATTTAAATATACATGAATACTTTGGAAGGGTACTCCCAGTCGTTAGTACTTACATATATTGAGTAATAAAAAAGAAACTGCCATATTTTTTTTAAATTCGTAAGGAAAACTTTTTTGTTATTAAAATTATTTTTAAAGAGATATAAATACATATTGACCATTAATGTCTATGACCGTTTGCCATTTTCGGAGCTTCTGTGCTTTATCGTTGAAGAACTTGGCTAAATGATTTCCAGCAGTATTCCTTTGGCCAATTTTTTACCGTCAAGAGAGTTTTGCAGAAACCGAAATAGAAGGTAGTAAACTAACATAAGGTCCGGGTTATATCGTGGGTGCATCAGAGCTTCCCAGTCAATTTTTGTATGGCCTCCGTTGTCAAGACGAACCACAAAACCTTTCTGGTTTATCATTTCAGGACGCTTTTTATGAAGAACTCATTGGATGCTGATCAATTGTTGACGGTAGAGCTCATAGTTGATCAATTCACCAGGTTGTAGCAGTTCATAATGGAAAATTCCCTGCCAATTTCACCATACATTCGACAATTCAGGCATTGAAGCGTCACCAACCTTCGGCCATGATCTCTTTAATTTTATAATCTTTTATGTTTTCATAGCCCCTGATGTGTCATTTCAAAAATACTTCAATGACGGTAATTAGATTAAATATTTTTTGCGATCATTTATTTGAATCTCATATTTCGAGCTTCTTTGAGTAGTCAAAGTTTTTAAATGATTCCATGGCGTCACAGCTTGCATGTCGATCTTGCTTCAGCAGTTCCAGAATTTCTTCAGCTTTGTGAACAGCTATTGGATTCGTGTTGTTGAAATCGCGAGATTTCATTCAAAAAAAAAAAAAAATTAACAACTGTTTCCTCATTCCGTTCTAGGGCAGACCCATTTTTAATCCATGTCCTTTGAAGGTTTTGTGTGCTTCTTTTGAAAACTCGCTTTATCACGATTGTTTCTTAAGGACCTGGTATTATCTCCATTTTAGATTTCTCCAGATATGTTGTCGACTTCGTTAACTTTTTCGTTACAGCAAATGTTCCCATGGCCGAAACCCCAGTTTATGAGAATGACGAGTTGGCCTGCCGGCGTGCTTAGTCATCCGGCAAGTATAGATGATGCTTACAGTAACTATTGGCGACGAAGATAAGGTCAGCTGTCTTTTATATCATCTTGTTGTAGTTCATTTTTGTTCGACGGGCTCTTTCCATACTTTCGCTTGAAAGATGCTAGCAGAGTTTGGTAAACGTAAAGATTGGAAGATTCCAAGTTTTTCGTAGTTTGTTTACCATTTTATTTGCTGATATCGCACTGTTTCTGTAATGCTGGGCATCAAACCAAAGCTTCACATGCTACATGGGTCTGACACCTGTAGTATCCATCCAGATAACCATATTTGGTTCACTTTTAAGTATTCTTTTGCAGTAGTAATATTCTCCTCTAGCTCGGTTTGATGTCAATCTCGACTCGCAGATATTTTGCTATGTAAGATGTAATGTGTGGGAGCCTCTCGATAACCTCAGTGACTAGGGACTATGCACGAGATCGTTCCGTTGAGTTCGAGAGTAGTATTTCCTTCAGTGCCACCACTCATACAATTGTGATCAAGACATCTCCAATAGGAGACCCCCTGTTGTCATAGATTGTTCGTCGATGAGAGGATTTTCTTCTAAGTGCCGATTGTATCCATCAGCAAACCGTGATATCTAATTGAAGGCTCCCTTTAAGTTTACAAAGACTTCCTCTTTTTTACTAATTTCGCTTTAATGAATTTAATATTACAAAATCACACCGGCTGGGAGTAATCATATATGAATATTCATTAATTTCTCCAGCACTTTAGGCATGACGGAGGTGTGGCTTACGACTTTGAAGTCCGCGGAAAAACTACGTCTACCAAAACTCAATTTCTTAATACATAACGCAGTGGAATGCATGCCTAGTAGATTCTTTTAATCAATTGAACCTTTGGTTCCTTTGATTAACTCATCCTCAGGCTTCACTTTCGAGTATAAGGAATTTAAGGAAATGCGAATTTTGTCGCAAGTGGAAATATTCTCGAAAAGTGGAGAGTTGAAACCATCAATCGGTCGAAAATGCCTCTCATCTGGCACTAAGGGTTAAGCTAATTAAAAATGTTTTAATATTTAACACTTTTTTAAATTAGTCAAAGTTAACACATCAAAGTCACATAAAATAAAATATGAAGTAAAACCAGTTAGTAGATTGGAGAAAGACGTTTCTAATTTACGCTGACAATCTAAAATACTAAAAATAATTTCATACTAAATTTCCAATAAGACTATAAATTCACTTTGACCCAGTGCAATTTGCACAGTTTTCGTGAAAAGATTCATCGCAAAAGTTTACTGATATTCTTATTGAAAATAAAAGATACTCCAAAATGCCTAAAAATTTTGCTACTCAACTTTTAGTATTCTTTGCTTGTGGCTCAATCGTGCTAGCCGCTGGAAAACCTGCAGAACCAAAGGCCCGATACTTGCGTTCACCGGATGAGCCAGATAATGGTAGACTGGAGCTGAAGTACGACGGTCATGAGGGAAGTCTCAAGTATAATCACCATTTGCTGAGGAGTGATGATGGAAATTTCGCACTTGATGCTTATGCCGAAGGCAAACGAAATTACGATCGTAATCAAAATGACTTTCAAGGTGGTCTACAAGGTCATTGGTATTTTCCAGGTTAAACCAGTGAAAAATTTGTGTAAACTTTGTCTTGCATATTAAAATGAATTAATAAAATTATATTCAGGACGACGGGAAACCGCTTGAGTGGTTAGAACGCGCCAAATACGTAAATATTTACTCTTTCTTCATCTTTCTCATTACTATATGAGTATGCTCCGGTCTTAAAACCTTCAGTAAGTCGCTGCATAGATTTTTCGGACATTTCTCCAGTCCCTGGCAACTTTTCATATTCACACATTTCGCCCTCTTTCTTTTTTTGTAAGCTTCTTCTTCTTTCTTCGCTCTGTAGCTCATGGTACCTATTTCAGCGCATATGTCAGCCACGACTAGATTGTCGACGGAACGGTCTTCGGAACGTTCGCACATCTGGACTACTAGAGTCATAAAACTTCCGTCTACCACAACTCGCCAACAACCAATCTGGAATCGGTTGCTACAGATAACTAAAAGTGGCGCCCAAAGTTTGGGCGATCAGTCTCAGCTCATGTGAGGATGTTTCGTACTGCAGGCTGAAGCTTTCGAAAGATACATACAATATTTTCCCAACGGGACATTGAAATCATCAAGGACGATTTGGGCATCCTGACGGGGGCAGCACTCGCAGTTGCGTTTAAATCGCTCGTAGAAGGTGTTTTTCGTCACATTGTCTTTCACTTCCGTCGGGATGTAGGCGTAAATTAGCGCTTAGATCACCAAGTTCAATAAAGGACTGCATCTCCTTCCCACCTCGAATGCGACACATTTGCACTACTCTAAAGAGTCACAACAATGAAATTCAGAAGAATCTATCTGTTTCTCTTCATGTCCTTAGAAGGCCTTCAACTAGTACGACAGCGCCACTTTCTCCATTGATAGACAGGCCATTCCAAGCGTTATCAAAAAGAGGTTTTGTCATCCGAGGCTTTATTGGACTCTGCACGGGACTCGAATTTTCACATGATGTTATTCTTTTTCTTTACTAGTGCAGATACCGCTTTGGCGATTATTGAGCCGAGTTAACAACAACGCGCCATTCATTCCTTCTTTCTGCTGTTTTTCCCCAATTAGAAATACCAAGTACAGCCAGGGTACTTCTCTACCTGGTCTTTGCAACGGAGCCGAATTCCCTCTATTCCTCTGCTTGGTATTGCATCGAAAAGTTTCAAAGCTGGGGTACTCTTATCCATCTGGGTCAGATCAACTAATCAGTGCAGCTGCTGATATGTACAGCCCATCGATTCATTGGCTACGGTATTCACCGTTCTCAACTCGGAGAGGACAGTTAATCTTAGGCAAAAAAATTCTCTCGCCGACTCATCAGATCGCATCATCCATTCATCGTCCATTCATCCGCGCCAAATAGCAAGACTGGAACTTGCACAGGGATTGCTTTAGGAGATATTCATAACAGCTTTGCGACGGTAACTGCATACCTAGATGCAAGACCACACGCTAGTAGAGTTCGGCAAGATAAACTATACCATGAAAAACCAAAAAAATTTTCATTTATTGTAGTGAAGGAAAGGAAAGCTAATTTTTGGCAAACGAACTTGTACAAACACACAACAGTGGGCGGCAGTCAAATGCAGTCGCGTGTCAAGAAGTTATTTTCTACAACACAGGTGGATTCTATACACGTATATTTAGAGATGCAGGAGTTTATTGAAGAGTTAGCTGAAAGTTCAAATTGCTTTACACTCACAATTCATGGCCCAAAAGCATTTATGATGGCAGAAACTTCATGCAAACTGTTAACGGTAGTGATTGCCAGGCGATTTAAACTTTCCTTACAAAGTTCAAAAGACAACTCTCATATACGCATATATATGTAAATACAAAAAAAAAAAACATGGAAATGCCGTAATATTTTTGTATATATACATGCACGAGGGTTACCTTTTGTACGTCAGGATAAGAGCATAACAACAATCATTCAACAATAAAAATCGCTTTATTGACTTTTCAAATTATTCTCCTTTAAGATCTGTACACTTTTGCATGCCTCTGAACGAATCGGTGAAGCCATTTGGCAACTCTGATTGTCTTCTGAATGCATCGAACGCCTCCTCAGTTGTCGAAAAACGTTGACCTCTCAATTTATTTTTTTTTACGTACAGGAATAAAAAGGATACATTCGATGCTTAGTCAAGTCTATTCGATGGTAGCCTCATCAAATCGATGTTCTGAGTGCTCAGAAATGCAGTTGTTTCAGTAGATTGTCGTGTTGAAGAGTGATCCGTCTTCGGCGTTTGGTTTTCCTGATTTCTTGAAAGACAACTGGCAAATAAATGCTTGTATATCACTCGGAATTTACCGATCCAAGTTGTTCTAGTATTGCATTTGCGATATGTCCAGTTTTTCCAAAAAAAAAGGACAATCATTATGTTGCAAGCGCTTCGTGTGCGAACAAGTTTTGTTGAATTCGGCTCATCTTTAAAAACCCTTATAGTCGACTGCTCATACGCGTAAATCCATGATTAATTAGCTATCACGATGTCATAGACGTGTTTCGAAGCACAGCCGTCGTATTATGTAACATTTCTCTTGACCGATCGGCACGAGGATTTCTTTGAGCGATTGACGAATTGTGGATCCAAGGTGGCACAGTTAGTTTATAGTCAAATATTCATGCCATATTTAATGCATGCTGAGCCCACTAATCAGGACGTTCTTGCAATATCAGTTCGCTCACAGCATCAATAGTTTCCGGACCAACAAATGTTACCTCTAGTTGTCCAAATGCCTCGATAGATCACAGGTCGATCTTGCAATATCAGTTCGCTCACAGCATTAATAGTTTCGAGAACAAGAACTGTTGCCTCTAGTTGTCTCAATCTCTCGATAGATCACGGGACGATCTTGCAATATCAGTTCGCTCACAGCATCAATAGTTTCTGGAACAATAACTGTTTTGCAGCGACTCTCACGAAAATTGTCTTGGTGTGATCTACGAATTCGCTTGCACCCAGTTAAAGACTAGTCTTTTGTGGAGCTTTATCAACGAAAATTTTAGTTAGTTTATCAATGCTCTGCTGCTGACTTAATCCACTTCGATAAATGAAAAAAAAAAATAATCGCGCGAATATGTTCCCAAATTAATTCCATATTTTTGGGCCTAGGGTTGCTAAATTCGGAAATAAAAAAAGTAACCCTCGTATGTATGTACTTATTTTTTACATATTTACCCATTTGCTCGTCTGTATTTCTAGTGCACTCGAGTACTCTGACAATTTAATTGAAATTATTATTGTATAATTTTCAAAACTTTGGAATTTGGTAGAAATTGAATTTCAAATTGCGAAAATGCCAAAAGAGCAATGCGGCTCTTACTTATAAATACCAACAGGAAAATGAAAAAAACCCAACAACTACAACTAGTATTGGGAAGACGAAATGCCGAAAGTTGAATAGAACAAATGAATTTTTCAAGTGCTTCACAAGTTGGAGTTCCATGCTCTACGACTGCCAGTGACGGTGCTTTAATCCACAAACAAGTGGCAAAACGTAGAGAGGAAGAAAGAAGTTAAGCTGAGGTTAAGGCCAAGTTGCACATTGGCAACAGACAACTTCACATCAGTTTTCCGCTCTATGAGTAGACAGCAACTTTTTTAATGTGATAATGACGTAAAAGCTTAAGTGCAAATAAAACCGTATGACTGTAGAGAGCCCACAAAGCAGAGTTCTGCCGACGATGATGAGCTGAAGATAAATAATTGAGAAAACAATAAAAGCAAACAAAGAGGGAAATGAGTAGTATATGAAAAGTCAAAGAAGCATAAAAATACGCAATAATACCGTTAACAAAAACAACCCAGTAAGCGCTGGAAACATATTTCTGCAAGCTCTGGAAAAAGCTACATAGTGCCATTAAAATAGAATTTCTTTGGTTTAATGGCGACGAAGTTGAACAAAACCTTTCGCTATCCGGAAACTTTTACTATCAGAAGAGTTATGTCGAGACCGAAACCAATGGTAGCCAGTTAATGGAATATCCTGGCTATATGGTGGGGGCGTGAAAACTTCTCAACAAAGCTACGTCTAGTCTGCCGTTCTCATGATGATTCACAACACCTTTTCTTTCAGTCTATTCTATTCAATCTTTTTTCGATTGACAGTAGAACTTACAATTGAGCGTCTCGCCACGTTTATTTGTTCTCATTGGACAATTTCCAGCCAATCCCACCATAAGCTTAGCATCTTTTTTTAAATTGATAAGGTCCTATCAGTTTGTGGACGGTGGGCTTTAGTATTTCTCACAATACGTTCGATAACACCTTATATGCCATATTAAGGAGTTTAATCCCACAATCGAGGTGCACATTTTACAAAACAATATTTCCGCATCGGAATCGAGTAATCCACTCCTGGTTCCGAGGTATTCTGAGCATAAACCTAATAAAATTTTGGACACTTTTGTGCAGCGCGACTATCTTGATTTGTAGTCTGTAGTAGTGCTTTAAATAATTTATCGCTTGGGAAATCTCAATCATTTTCGAAACAAAATAACTTTAAAATTTTGCCTGAAATGTCACCTCTCGAACGTAGCACGCGGATTTATGTTGCCCGCAATAAGAATACCAAGAAAATTTTAGGACAGAAATCGCGTAGACTTTTTATAATCCGAGTTATAGCCGCTGAATCGACTGTCGGCTGAGCTTCGCCTCAAATTTGTGCTGTGCGACTTGATGTTTTGCGAACAAATGAAGAAACCTACAGTTTATTCTAAACCGCCTCGGAACAGCAAAGAAATTTTCTTGAAGGGTTTCTAATATGCCCGGAACAGTTGACTTTTCACGTCGAGGTTCTAACGCAATTCGATTTTTTTTTTTTTTTTTTTTTTTTTTTTTTTTTTGATTAAATTTCTATAATTTTTAATTATCACTTGATACAAAGGTTGAGGTACTGTTGAGATACTGTTGAGCTACTGTTGAGAAAATCCTTGTAGATTTGAGATATACGTTATTAATACTCAACTTCAAACGTTTATTGCAAACGTTCTTCCTATTTGACCTGTGTGTATATCTGTGTGATTGGGTGCGTAGCAAATCATCAACGTTTGCCGCAATTTTAGTGGCCAGTAGCTGGTACGTGCCGCCATCGACACATCAACTGAAAATTAAATATACGTTTAAATGGCG